GATCTGAGGCTGGCATTCATATTGGCTTCTACATGTGAGTAATGTTTTTTGGTGGTTAAACCCAGTAAGATAATATTCCTTATATAAAATACTATACCCCAAAAGGAGGATAGAATCTTACTCTATCATGGGTACCATGGTACCCCCAAATAAAGTACTACTCAAGTGGGGTTCTCGCAGGGAGGGATGGGGGCGGGGGAACCATAAAGTCCTGGGGTGGTGGGCGGCGCCTTGGGGTTTGGGGTTAAGGTTTTAGGGTTTAGGGTTTAAGGTTTAGGGTTTGAGGTTAAGGTTTCTGGGTTTAGGTATTAGGCTTAAGGATCCTAGGGATATATAGGGATTTTGGCTTCTGGTCCTTATTGGGGGCTAAAAGTGGTTGAGGCCTAGGTAGGCATAGAAGGGCTCAAGAGGGTTTAGGAGTCACCTAGGAAAGATAAGATTCGAGTAAGGGAAAATGGATAATCACATGGAATTTGAAGTGGGAACTGGGATGACGTGGGATTCAGGTTTGAGGGATCTGAACTACTGACTCGATACGCATCTTGCTAAACATGAAGGACTATCACACATCATCTTGATTTACCTTTCTCGATTGACGTCCTCTTGTTTTGAATCAGGAAAGGAAGTAAAGGTGTGTGCAAAGGGCACGTGGTGTTAGGGATGAAACTGTCTGAAACATCAGGATGCGGTCGCTGGTATGTGGACACAGAAACTTTTACTATTCCAGCAGGATGTAAAGACCAACAATCTTCGAACTCTAAATACAAGCCAGGGCAAACCCGGCAAGGGGAAGGCTCAAGCACTACATGTTCGGTGTCAATGCCTGTTGATGGTTGAGGAACCCTGATCTCTCAAATTGCCAAGCACTACCCTAATCAACCTAAATGAACTTGAACACAGCACTGCAAACCACACACACCCTAATCTCAAAACTGTACACCCTTACACCTCCTCCCCCATACCCCGAGAGAAAACCATGTGCAAATTCATGTATCTACCGCTTTATAACCGCCTAAACCCTAAACACACACACACACATAGATATATATAGATACATGCATATATATATATATGTAGCACTAAACCCTAAACAGACCTCTATGTAAGCCCAACGATAATCTCTATACTTAATCCTTGGAGCCGGAAAGCTGGCGCACAGCAGCCGCCACTTTCATCCGTGTCTGACTTCTTCAACGGCACCTGGCTTCCCAGATCTGGTTTGGGGAGTTCTAAAGGGGTCCAGGGGGTTACATAAGTATACATAAGGATATGTAGCAATTTATAGGGGTGTATAAGGATACGTATATATGTATATATATATCTGTACAGATAGATAGGGATACGTGTGGATGGGGGATGCATGGGGATAGAAGGATATCTAGTGTTTAGGGTTTGGCCCTTCGAACTTGGGGATGTGTGAGTTTCCATCCATATCCTCGAACCTTCCCGCAACCCTAAACCCTACACCCTTACTTGCGGCTTAATAGTGGAGCAGAGGGAGAGCTTCTTTCTGGCAACCTCCGAGTAAATTTCAGTGCTCAGCGCCTGGGGTTCTAGGGCTTCGCAAGGTCTGAATCGGGGCTCCAGGATGAAAAAGATGGGGTTTAGGGTTTAGGGTTTCAGGGCTCAGGGTTTAGGATAGTAGGCAAGGACTATAGTAAGACTATCTATTCGAATTTCGAGGCCAAAGTACGAACAGTAGGGATAGTTCCAATAGCATTCATAGGAATTGCAGTGGCGTAATACTAGTATACTAACCACATTAACCTATCACACCAAGAACCTTTGTCTATCCTTAGTTCGTAGTCCCTGTAACTCTAGCTCTACCCTTTAGAGCCCTTGAGAATATCGACCTTCCCACCGGCGTAATCCCGACACCCTACCTAGACCCTCAAATGTAGTTCCTCCTTTTTGTGTCTGGTATGTTTTTTGGTGAGGACTCTTATTAGGACCACCAAAGCTGTACTACATTGGGGTCTAGGTAAACCCTAAACTGCTCGGCTGCCTAAGGGCGACCCGCGGCGCCTCCTTTGCCACGGAAAACTGAATGGCAATGCAGATCGTGTTAAGCGTGCAGATCATCCTCGGTCATGCTTGGAGATTCTGTTAGCTTAGGAATTATATAACTTTTATAGCTGCAGTACTTAACCATCTTAATCAAGGGATTTGGTGACTCGGCCTGAGGGGCCTATCATTCTCCAACGCCCCAAGTGGCCTTAGAGGGACTAACTCAACTATAAGCCAAGATAGAAGGGCAATGATCAGTTTTTGCTAAGCCGCATGGACCTTCGAGTATCCAATGTAACGCGCCCCAATCCCTAAAACCTCGTCCTCAAACTTTACTGCCTAAATTTCAGCTCCACGAGACGGTTGAGAGGTGCAGATTTAAGTCAAGGCCATGCCTCCAAAGAAGTAAGGGCTTACAGCCTCATCATGATGGTATTAAAGATTCCCCTGTCACGCTTGTGCTTGCTGGAAGACCCACAATGCAGGTGTTTGCTAGCAACTCCAAAGCCCTAAAACCCTGAAGCCTAAAACCCCCTGGAGTAACCTTCGACTTACCTTGCGTTAGTAGGGAATGGAGGAGTGGAAAAACATGGAAACTACCAAATTTCTGGTGGTTATAATAGGGAGTACTTTAAGGATCCTTTCCTTTATTCCTTGCCAGACCAAGATGCCGAAACATTGGGCATAAAACCTCTTTTTGGGTACATACGTCACTCTAGTTCCATCTGAAGAAAACAAGAAGTTCCAGCATCCGCCCATCCAGCTGGTGCATCGGAACAAACTAAACATGGCTCCTTTTGAAGACACATTCTCTTCTGAAGACGCAGTGGCTGCTCAAGAACGTTTAGGCGTTTGGTCTAGGCTAAACTAAACCTTCAGGCTTCACAACATCAAATGTAGTAGGAACACCAAGGCTTCAAAAGGACCACCTGGCGCCATGCTGTCTGGAGTGGGCTAGATATGGCCCTGTGTTTTTGGGAAGCAGGCGACAGGCACGGGTTCTCAAAATCGGAGCATCGTCTAGTATAAAAGTACATAATGCATAGGGCCATGGGGAGGACCTTGACATCCTCCCTTCGCGCAGAGCCAGCGCATCAAGTTCATCCTTAAGAAGATTGACAAATCTTTCTCTGACGGACTGCATGCTATCATCTACAGCTTCGGGTTGACTGCTGTACGGGCGCAGTGCAGCGTTGCAAGCCCTTTTCCATCACCCTCTGGGCCTGGAATAACGGGCCCCTTTCTGGATTGCATGTTGGGTCAGCTCACATGGCCTTGGCAATGCTGAAGGTCGGCGTACGCTGCAAGCACTAGTATATATCTGAGTGTTTTCTTTCCTCAACCCCAGACTCTGGAGACCTGTGGTGTACCGCGCGTATGTAAGCCCCTCCCCCTTGTAATCACCTCACCCAACAGAAAAAAGTTGCTGCTATTGGGGTACTGTTTCTTGAAACGAGGGGAGTATCACGGGATGATTTATCTGCATGCCTGGAAACCCTGGCCCAATATACAATCCAAAGAAACATCCAAACCCAAAAACCTAAATCGAAACGAGATGGCCAAGCTGCAGCATCAGCGTGAACATGTGCTCCACAGGAATGTCGTAGATCCTTAATCGATATATGGGCGTTGCCCAAAATTACTTCATAACAAAATGACCACTTCGCGGAAATCCAAAGTTCCTTTCGCGAAATCCAAAGTTCC